GTGGACCCTTATTGGAAAAATGACTAGGTTTGGTGGAGGAGGAATGGAAGGAGAGGGGCAAAACATCAGAGAAGCTGGACTAGATAGAGATAGTGAAGGGGGAGAGGGGCACACAGCATAAAACCTGGGCCACAGATGGGGAAGAGGGGAGAGGAGGAACATAATATAAAAAAAATGGATCACAGGCAGTGAAATGGGGAGGGTAACAGAAGGGCACACAGCAGAAAAATTAGACCAGAGATGGTGAAAGGAGGAGGGGAGGGACACACAGAAGATGAACTGACTCAGATATGGTGAAGAGGGAGGGGAAGGTCACATAGCAGAGAAATTGCCCAGAAAGGGTGCCTAAGTCACACCTGGCTCTGCAAGGTTAGGTCTCTGCTTAGATACTAGGGAGACCCCAGTCCTGGCTGGAGAGATGGGGGGTAGAAAGGGGCTCCAGCCCCTAAAGGGTCAGGCAAAGGAGTACCTAGAAGTGGAGATCAAGGAGTTAAATGGAGGAAATAAGAGAGTAAGAAGAATCTCATTCACTATTGGTGAAAAGCTTATCTCTCGGGCACGTACATACATACATGCAACATGTTAGGAACACGGGCTTAACTTACTGGGGGAATTACATGGATATAGACCGTTGGCACTCTCCTACAAAGTATCACATGATCACAGGCTGTCAGCACTCAGGCACACACAGTATTTTGTGGCCACAGGTCCTCAGCCTGCAGACACACAGCATCACTTGGACACAAACCCTCAGACCCAGATACACAATATCATGTGGACCCAGACCTATAACACCCAAATAACATCATGTGACTCCAGGTCCTCAGCAACCAGATATAACATCACTAGGGCATGGGCCTTTAGCCCCCGACACACAATGTCTTCTGAATACAAACTCTCAGCATCCAGGGACACAACATCACAGAGACGTAGACCCTTAGCACCCAGACACACAGCAAATATGAACCAAGGCAAGGCAACCTAATACAGAGGTTTGACATCACATAAACACAGGCTCACCACATAGTATCATGGGAAGAAAAGTCCACTTGCTCCACACACATCACATCAACACAGAGGGAATTCTGTTCCAGCCTCTCTTTTGCTCTGCCCTGCCTGGCCTTCCCTCCCTCCTTCTCTCATTGAACAGTCACTCCTTGACCTAAACTGCTCCCTCCATCAGTTCCTCAACCACCCCAAAATTTCAATCTTGATCAACCGACGTGATGAAGACATTTTCCGCTACTTGACCAATCTGCAGGTCAGGCCAAAGATACATTTTTACTAGGATTGGGCAAAGGATCTGGCCCTTGGAGGTGAGGGGGGTGGGGTGGGAGGGGCCTTGGTGTGGTGGGTATTCCAACGTTACCTATACCCTGAGCAGGTACAGGATCTCAGACATATCTCCATGGGCTACAAGATGAAGCTGTACTTCCAGACAAACCCCTACTTCACAAACATGGTGATTGTCAAGGAGTTCCAGCGCAACCGCTCTGGTAAGAGGCAGCCCTAGGGAAAATCCACACCCCCACCCCATCTGTCCTTGTCCACTGCCCTCTCCATAGCCTCCTTTCCCCCCAGGCCGGCTGGTGTCTCACTCCACTCCAATCCGCTGGCACCGGGGCCAGGAACCCCAGGCCCGCAGGCACAGGAACCAGGACACCAACCACAGCTTCTTCAGCTGGTTCTCAAACCACAGCCTCCCAGAGGCTGACAGGATTGCTGAGGTGGGACCCCTCCTGGCATTGCCAGAGAAAACCTTGCTAGGCTTGCCTCTGGATGCTTGGGGAATTGGGAGTAGGCTCTGGGGCTTGTACTCATAACTCTGTTCCCCTTCCCCCCACCCACCCTCTCTTTCAACAGATTATCAAAAACGACCTGTGGGTTAACCCTCTGCGCTACTACATGATGGGAGAAGGGGGCTACAGGGCAAACAAAAAGAAGCAAGAAAAGGAAGAAAGGTGATGGGGGTTTGGTGGCTGAGAGGTGGTTTGTTAGGGATGGGACAAAGATTAGGCTAATGTCACACAGGATTTACAGAGCCAAAGGGACCTTTGAGAGAATCCAGTCCAATATGTTTGTTTTTTTTTTTAAAGAATTTTTTATTTATTCATTTGAGACAGATACAGAGAGAGAGAGTAGGAGCAGTGGGGAGAGGCAGGGGGAGAGGGAGAAGCAGACTCCCCACTGAGCAGGGAGCCTGATGCAGGGCTTGATCCCAGGACCTGGAGATCATGACCTGAGCCGAAGGCAGACGCTTAACGACTGAGCCACCCAGGCGCTCCCAGTCCAATATGTTTTACAAGTGGGGAATGATGCCCATAAATGGGGTGTGATTGGCCTGAGGTCATGTAGTCAGGAGCAGAAATGGGACTTTCCCCACCCTAACCTCATCCCTGGGATCCCTTGTAGCCTGCTGGCTCCCCAGTTACTACCTTTCAGTGTCTGCCTTGCCTTCCACCAACCCTATACTCAACCTCAGCCTTCTCCACAGTAAAAACAGGGACAAGTGTGAGGTGGTGATCCTGGAAGACTCTGATGACTATCATGTAATGGAAGACATTATCAGCGAGACCTCAGACAGCGATGGTATCACCGACAATGAGACCATTCATGACGTCAAGATCTCTGACTTCATGGAGACCACCGACTGCTTTGAGACCACTGACAATGAGATAACTGACATTAGCGAGAGCCTCTGTGACAGTGAGAGCCCTGACCACAATGAGAGCCCTGACAATGAGACCACCGACAACAATGAGAGCCCCGATGACAACGAGACCACTGATAATAATGAGAGCTCTGATGACAACGAGACCACCGACAACAATGAGAGTGCCGATGACAGCAACGAAAATCCTGACGACAACAATGAGAACCCTGATGAAAACAGCGAGAACCCTGAGGACAACACTGATGACAATGAAGAGAACCCTGATGACAATGAAGAGAATACTGATGACGATGAGAACCCTGATGGTGATGAGAACCCTGATGGTGATGATGAGAACCCCAAAGGTGGCAACCATGGCAGCAATGGCAACAACCAGGACAGCAGCGACAGTGACAATGAAGGAGACAATGAGGGCAGTGATGATGAAGATAATGACGGCAATGAAGGCGACAACGAAGGCAGTGATGATGATGGCAATGAAGGTGACAATGAAGGCAGCGATGATGATGACAGAGACATCGAAGATTACAAGAATGACATTGATGACCCTGACAAGGATCAGGATAACAGCAACAACCAGGATGACTATGAGGATGAGGTAGAGAACATCTCTGAAGAAGAATCATCAGTGGAGGAGGAAGAAGAGGGCAGTGAGGAAGGTGAGCCTAGAGCCCCTTTTGTCTTCCCTCCTTTTCTCAGAAAAGCTGGCCAGGGTCAAGGCATCAAGGCATGAATACAGTCTGCTCTTGTGGAGAAAAGAAGCATTTTGTGCGACTTTTTAAACAAAGCAAGGCCAGGGAACCTTTAACTTACAAATGTAGCAGAACCAAAGAAATAGATTCCATTTCTAGGTGGTGGGTAGATAGGTTGTAACAGAGCAAAAGACACAGGAAGAGTGAAGAGATAGGAGAAGGTGGGTAGAAAACTGAGAAGGACAGGCTCACACACAGAAAGAGGGGGGAAGTGACAAACATAATTCAGCATACTCTGTACGCAGGCAAGGGTTTCAGGGAACTCTCAGGCTTGTTTGTCTTTTGGGAGGATCCTTCACTAGTCCTGAAAACTGCTTCTCACAAAAACGTCCAGTAGTCAGTTATGTTGGGGACATACTGCATACATTAATATTCTCAGGTGGAGTCACATGTACATGCACCTTAAAGGCTCTGAAAAGTCCTGCTGTAAGAAACCCATTTAAACATTGTGGAACCCAGCATTTCCCAAACTTCTTGACCACAGAAGCTATTGTTTACTCTTCACCAAAGCATGCATTTTAGAAAATGCTGAGGAAGGTTTGCATGTGGGGGTTTGAGGGAGAAGGCAGTATTTAAGATGACTTCCAGGTTTGGTCTGGCCTGGATGACTGGCAAACAGAGGTGCCATTTCTTAGGATGGGGAATGACATGGTGGCAGGATTGATGAGATGCAGGGAGGAACATCGGGTTGGAAAGGCTTGTCGGACATATGATACAGGTAGCCCAGGCAGGTGATTGGTTATATGTCTGGGAAGTCAGAAGATGTAAGTAAAGGGGGTAACAAGCCAGAGCAGAATCCTAGCTCTGGATTCTGGGACCAGTTAGCATTAATGAAGTGTTTACTATGTGCCAGGCACTATTCTAAATGATTTACTTATTTTATTAATTCATTTGATCCTCACAGCAACTCTTAAGAGGTAGGTGCTATTATGGATGAGGAAACTGAGGCTCTTGAGAGGGTAGAATTAGGAAGAGAACTGAGTCATGGAACGTTCTCAGAAGGCGGGGATTGTCAACAGTATCCAGTGCTGCTGAAAGGTCAGGTAAAATGAGGACTGGGATGTGTCCATTGGATTTAGGGCTATGACCTTGGCAAGAGTAGTTTCAATATATTAGTGGGGGCAGAGCCAGACCCACAGTGAAATAGGAGGGAATGAGCAAGGGGCAAGGCAGTAGAGTCAAACCTTAGCTAGGAAGGTATTGGTAGAGGGTGGGCAAGGGAGATGTTTGAGCCTGGCTGTGGGCAGGCAGACCTTGGAGAGGCGGGCCCCTGGGGGAGGTAGAAGGGGCTGGAAGACCAACCACTCCTGGGGGTTTTGGCCATGGGGTCTCTGGCAAATTTCCATTGAGGGCAGGGGCAAGGAAGAAGGCATTGAATGAGTGAGTAAATTCAATGTAGACATATATTCAGTTAGAGTAGGGAAACAAGGAGTTGCCACCGGATGGCATCTTCTTTCAGAGAAGGGGAGGAAGCGCTATCTGCCCAGCCCTAGGGTAGGAGTGGGGGTGGGGAATTGGGCTAAAGAAGACAGACTGGGCCTGTTTGGATCAGACTGTGGAGAAGGAGTGGGGGAGCTGCCTTGGAATGAACAGAACGTTTATTCAGCTGAGGTCAGAGCTCGGGAAGACACACACGTTAACACATTACACGCGAGAAAAAGCGACTTTCAGAGATGTATCAATTTTGATAGGCCAGAGACAGGGAGCCCACCCTGCTTTCCTGCTTCCCTTCCACTCCTCCCTCACTCCAGGCTTGCTTGAGTGTACACACATACACACACACGACAGACAGACAGACACACACACACACCAAGCAGAGGTGCTTAGCAAGTGTTCCAGGCCCCCAAAACCCTGGCTATGGGCTCTGTTCCCTGTTAAGAGTGCTATCCTCTAGCTTCCAGAACTGTGAGAAGATAAATTTCTATTGTTTAAACAAACAACAAAAAAAGAATGACATCTGCCTGTTCATCTAATCACCCTCCGGTTTTCCCCTCCTTGCCTCTCTCCCTCCTTGCAGACAGTGAACAAGAAGGGGAGGAGAGCGATAATGAGGATGGAAGCGATAATGAGGAAGGAAGCGACGAGGAAGGGATCGAAGAAGACTCAGAAGGAGGAGAAGACTCTGAAGATTCCGACATGGAGGAGGTGCTTCAGGTCCAAAATGCTTGGGCCAACCCGGGGAAGAGGGGCAAAACTGGATAAACATTTTACCCTTGCAGGGGATGCCTCTCTGTATCCCCCTCCCCCTGCCCCATTTGCCCTCCCCCTCAGCTAGGGCCGCGCGGCCCCACATTGCACTTCTGGGGGGTGACCGACTTCGTACACGGGTTAAAAGTTTATTTTTATGGTTTAGTAATTGCAGAGTTCTTATTTTGGGGGGAGGGAAAGGGGGATTCCCCCTTCCTTTTGGCCCTCCTCCCCTGCAGGCTTCTGTGTGCTGCTAAACGTATTTATTGTGATGCCTTGGTCAGGGCCCCTCTATCCCCCTCCTCGTGCTGTGTGGAGTGGACACCCTTGATCCCGAAGCGGGGAGGGCCGCTGTGGCCTTGGGGGGCTCTGCTGCCACCCTGTTCTCCCAAGCCTCTCTTTCCCTCCATCCCTCGCGCCCCGCCCCACGCTGTGCCCGCTAGCCCGCCTTGGTGTCTATGCAAGGCCGCTTGTCATTGCGGTGTTCCTACCCCCCCTCCCCCAGAAGCCCCTCCTTGTTCCTTGTGAACCTTGGTAATCCTAATAAAATTCTGAGCAAATTCAAAGTGCTGCTTCTAGTCTTTTGTCCTGCTTGGCGAGCCATCCCCAGGAGCCACTCTCTCTTTCACAGACCCTCAAATCGCTGTCTCCTCTATGCATTGGTCTGCAAGATGGTGGTGTGTGGGTGGGGGGGGGGATGTTTGGCTTTCTCGGGGAGAGCTCTGCAGGCCGCAGAGGTGTTGCGTCAGACCAATGCGGACCATCCTGGCCAATGGCAGGGCGAGGCTGAGAAAGCCCCACCCCCTACCAGCGGCAGCAATGGACCCCGGCAGGTAGCAAACAGCTTCCCACGCCATCCCCTCTTGCGCAGGCGCACAGAAACGCCCTGCGCCCTAGAATATCCATTTGTTCAGTGATTCATCTTTTTATTTATCGTGCGTCAAACCTTTCCTCAGGCCTAGTGTGAGCTGGGCATGGGGAGCCATTGGAATCCATTTTTCTCATTTGCATGTAGTTTTTAAAAAATGATAATCTGTCAAGACATTACATCCTAATAATGCAGGAATGCTCTCCCGTTTTAGAGGGTGCAGGATTCCTGGAACTGGGCCTGGAAGAGAAGGCAAGAAAAGATGGCTCGAGCCAAAGAGTGCATAGAGAGAAGGGGAAAGCAGAGGGAAATTACTAGGTAGCTGTGTGATGGGGTGGGGGAGGGGTCGGGAGTTGGGTGTCTGAAAGGCAGAGCTTGGAAAGGCTTACTTATTTTAGATTTTGGATAGAGTAACTTTATTTCGGCGGACATCAGAAATACCTCCAGATTCTTTGTGGCTCATAATGATAACTTATACAAATATACAGGTTGGTCTTCTGCAATATACCTCCAGAATTTTCCATCCAACGCCCATGTTTTAATGGAAAGCGTCAGATACAGTCAGATTTCCGTTTCGGAGAATGCCCTCTGCTGGATGCCAGGAGAATGGATTGGAGGGAGGGAGAGCAGTGAGGAAATTGACGCTATCCTCAGGTGAGAATGGTGTAATGGGCGGATATGGGAGGTTTTTTAAGTACATTTTTTATTTTAAAAGTTTAAGATTTATAGAATTATTGCGAAGATAATACAGAGAGTACCCATATACCCCACAGCGAGTTTCCTCCATTGTTAACATCTTGCATTAGCATGGTACATTTGTCACAATTAATGAACCAATATCAATACTATTAACTAAAGTCCATACTTTATTCAGATTGCCTTAGTTTTTAAGGTAATTTTTCTGTTACAGGATGCCATCCAGAATAGCATATTACATTTAGTTGTCATGTCCTCACAGGCTCCTCTTGGCTGTGACTGACTGTTTCTCAGACTTTCCTGGTTTCTGATAACCTAGAGTCATCAACATTTGAGCAATAATGGTCAGGTATTTTGTAGAATGTCCCTCAATTGGGATTTGTCTGATGTGCTTTCTCATGATTAGATTAGGGTTATGGGTTTGAGGAAGGAAGATCACAGAAGGAAAATGCCATCCTCATCATATCAAGGGTACATACTATCAATATGTCTTATCACTGTTGATGTTAACTCTGCTCACCTGGCTGAGGTAGTAGTGTATGTGAGGCTTCTCCACAGTAAAGTTACTCCGCCTCCCTGCCCCAGCCCCCTTTCCATACCATACTCTTTGGAAGGAAGCCACTAAGTGTAGCCCATGCTTAGGGAGTGGGGAGTTCAGCTCCATCTCCTTGAGGGGGAAGTATCTACATAAATTAATTGGAATTCTCCTGCACAAGAAACCTGTCTGTTCTGTGAGAGCTTTTTACATGCTGGAATCAATGGGCTTTAGATATGGGAAAAGAGGGGACTGAGAGGAGTCGAGGATGACTGCCAGGTTCTTGTGGGACCTTTGGCAAGGCCCCTTCCCTCCCTGGGCCAACTCTGAAATAGTTGGAACACCAGATCTTTGACCTACTCCATGATTCTGATAAATGTTTTCGGGGGGGAGCATGAAGGCTTTGATTCCTCTGGTTCTGACCTGGGACTGCACTGTCAGAGGTGGGTAGAGGAGACTCTAGCCTGGCCAGAGCTGAGAGTTCAGGATCCTGAGTCAAAGGCATCTTGTGGGGAGGGAAGAGATACCTACATGCACAATCAGGAGCTAGTCCCAATGACCAGCGGGTGAAGTAGAGGGGAAAACAGCAGGGGCAAAGGGCCTGGAGTGGGCCAGGGGAAGAGGTCAGCTTAGCGAAAGGATCCCAGCCAGTCTGAAAGAAAAACAGCTTGGGTATCCTTCCTTCAGTGTGCTCTGCCTCACAATGTGATTCCATCACCCTCGCTAGAGGGCCTGAGTTTTCCCATCTGCAAACTTAGGTTAATCTTCCTGGGGGATCAGCCCTGGAGAAGCAACATGCCTAGGATCCCAAGATGGAGATGAGCCTTGAAGCAGACCTCCGAAGCCTGGCCCTCATCATGTCTTCCCTGATTCTTCTCTGCTCCCCTAATCAAATCCCCAGCCCCTCATCCTGGCATTTGAGGCTCCTTTTCACTCACCTTGTCAGAGAAGGTATCTGGCTTCAGGGACACTGTTAGGAGCCAATTTTGGGATTCTAATATATTTGGCTAGGGTGCTCATGTTTTGGATTGAGGCATGGGAGGAGAAGGTGTTCTTTGCCTAGAGTGACATCTTTTTCCTGTGTCCTCACTCCTCAGTGTGTGGTGTGGTTTCAGGTCCTGCCCAGTCTGGGCCTCCAAAACCGAGGGCTGTTCTTGAAGGTCTTTAAGGTCACAACCAAGTGCAAAATATAGTCTTTGCTGAAAACCAAAGAAGACAGCCCCCCCCCCTTTGCTGGGACCCTAAACAGAAACCAGAAGGAGAACCAGGTGGAGGATGAGGAATCAAGGGCCTGCTGTGCCCCAGGGTCTGTTCCCATGCTGAAGCTACTTGTCTTTGCATCCTTCACAGCTTACCCCACTCCTCTGCAGCAGAGGGCCCTGCACATGGGGATGAGGTTCTCAGGGACCAGGTTCTCCTGGGACCAAACTTTCAAAGTTCCACACACTTCTGTGAACAAAAGCAGATTGTCAGGGACAAAACCAGATTCAGGAATATCCCTCCTTCTCAGGTGACCAAGAGTGCCAGCACTGGCTTCCTTGGTTGAGGAGGAATCCTATTCATTCAGGAAAATTTATTGAACACCAATGTGTGTCTGATACTAAACTGGGTGATAAGGATACAATAAAGAAACATGATAAACCAGGTCTGTCTTCCTTCCCAGAGTTTGACAATTTGTGCCATAAACCTGTTTGGCGATCTGGTGAAGCCTATGGACCCTTCCTCAGAAAACAATATTTTTTAAATATATAAAATAAAGTACCTAGAGTTACAAAAGAAACTGATTATATTGAAATATAGTTATTAAAATATGGAAAAAGCAGATATGTGCTATGGTAGTATATGTGTTCCTCACTAATCCCTTAAATCATAAGATCTAGTGGAGGGTCTAATGACTATCATATTAAAATAGAGATGAGATTACATGATATTTCAACAGATCTACAACATCTATAATGTGATACGAAAATCTCTGTGATTTCTATTGGTGACAGAACCACAGATACTACTACTCTGTTACATTCTTTACTGAAAAAATGCTAAATTTCAATTAAAGATGTATACTTTTTCCCATCCAAATGCAGGGGCCCCTCCAAACCCTGTCCCCAGACCAGACTGGAGGTCCATCGACCCAATTAAGAACCCCTGATAATAGAAATGTCCTTCCCGTCTCTCCTTCCTTCTTAAATAGCTTTCCTTTGGAGGACAGAACTTGAGTTTTATTCAGGATCTTATTGCTGTGTGACCTCAAGCCAATCAGTTTGCTTCTCTGGGCCATAGTTTCCTCAGTCTGAAACAATGAGAAAGGCAAGAAATTAAAAGGGGAGACCTTAACTATATATGCTCCAGGCAATTAGTTTGTGTACTCTCAATCCTCACAAAGGCATTGTTAGGAAGGATTTTTAAAAATTATCTTCCCATTTCACAGATGGTTAAACTAAGACTCCTAGCGAGGTTGTCACTTGACCAATGTCTTAGCGGCAGGGGCTGGTGGGTGACTGGCTACACCCCCATAACCACCTCATCCTCCATGGGTGAAATTAGGAACTACGCTCATTTTGAGCGAAAGAAACCTGGCTCAGAAATCCCTGCAGGTGGGAGGTAGAGTCGTGTCTCTTAGAGCGTGGGCTTACGCAAGGTGGCTTACGGAGAGTAAGACGTCAAGAAAGCCGGGCATTTACGATTGTTCAGTGACTCCCGCCCAGCCTACTTTGGGCTTCGCGTCTGCGTGTTGCCAACTAATTACCGAAGGCCTGTCAAACAGCCTGGTAAATGTCAACGACAAGTCCTCCTCTCCTGGCCAATCTTATGGAAGGGTGGGCTTGGCTCATAAACCAATCAAAGACCCCCAGGGGGGCGGAGTTTTCTTCGGCCTGGATCCCGGCCTGGGGGGGTAAAACTAAAGTGTTTCCATCTCCAGCCAATCCCAGGAAAGGCAGGAGGGCACTCCTCCAATGGGAGCCCAAGAGCGGTCAGTAGCCGCGGAGGCCTGCTAACCCGCTAGCTCTCCAGCCGGCTGGAGGGACGCGTCCAGTGCGTTCACTAGGTCCAGCCGCCGGCCCCCCTCGAATCTGCTCGCGCTCGGCAGCGGCGGCGCGGAGGGCAGGAGGTGTCTGGTGAGACGCTGTAAAGACGGGGGTGGGGGGTGTGAGGAAAAGAGGCCGGGCTGGAGCATGAGGGGTGGGGCCTGGGCGAGCTTTTACCTGGGCGGCCTCTTAACCCTAGGTCAGCGGGTTGCGGAGGATCGTGCGGGTAGCAAAGGGAGGGCGAGTGCCCCTGCAGCCGCAGACAACAACCAGGTGAGTACCCTGCGGAGCCCATCACCCATGCCCACCCCTGTGTTTTGGGAAACGGTTCTGTGCAGGTCTGCAGCTCACGTGATCGTCTACGTGCCTGTAAATCTCCATCTCTCTGCCGCTCTTCTCCGTCTCCTTCTCCATCTTTCTGTGTGTCTCGATATTTCTGCCTGTCTCCTTCTCTGAGACATACTAGACAGCCCAGACCCAGAAGGCTGAACCCTGACGCTACCACTTAAAACTAGCCATGAGACCTTGAGCCATCTACATCACCTATGCCTCAGTTTCTTCATCTGTCAAATGGGAGTCTAATAATCTCCATCTGAGACAATACATGTACATCACTTTGCCCAGTGCCTGGCCCCTAGAAAATTTTCAATAAATGATGACTGTCGTGACTGAAAAAAAAAATACATGATCTCTCTTGGTCTTTGGCTTTGTTTTCTCCCTGCCTGTCTCTGACCCTACCCCCATTGATTCTTCTTTCTGAATGCTTCTTTTTCTGTTACTTTTTTCATCTTTATGTCTCTTTCCCATCTCTCTAAGCAGGTTAGAGGTGCATTGTTTATAGCAATGAGTCTGGCCTGAGAGCATCTGTGAGCTTAGCGTGGGGCTCTGGACTGTTCTGTGGGTAAAAAACAAAAACAAACAAACAAACAAAATGGAGCCTGGCTTTGGCTGAGGAAAGAACCCTATTTGTTCCCCACCCTACTGTGTTAAACAGGCAGAGACCTCCAGGGTGGGGGCAACTTAGATGAAACAGTGAACCAGGCCCTTTATCCTTTATTATGCTGGTTACTGCAAGAAGACCAGGATTCTCCTACTTACATCTCCACACAGCCCTCTTTTCTGTCCCCATCCTGAAATCCTTTAACCAGGCCTTCTGGAACTCACTGTCAGTCACCAGCAAAATCTCCATTCTCACCTTGGCTTCTGAATAGTTCCTTCGTTTTCTTGCCATGCCTTAGTGGTTCTCATACCTACTGGACCCAACGCTCCATTTTTATAATTTCTATTTTGAAACGTCCCTTTCACTATCCTGAAATGAAGTGTATAGATAATAGAATCTGTCTCCACACATAATTCCTCCCAAACCAATGTAATGTAATGTCCTAATTGTAATATAAGGGAGAAGTAAAGGAAGAGTAATTTCTAATAAAACAATATATTTCAATATGTAAAGGCTGGGATATAATTTCACTAGAAGACATAATGAATGGTCTTGCACGTAATGATCCTTGTATCTGGGAATGTGACACTTACATGTGTGTTGATTGCTGACTCAGAAACCATGGGTAGGGTGATGTGATTTTCCGAGTCATGAATAATTCTTCATAAAGTTTTAAACAAAACCAAGTGCAATCCTCCCTCAATTTATATGGTTAATTTGAATTTCTGGGAAGTCAGTACATACTAAAATCCATGATCTGGCCCTCTTAACCTCTCTGACCTTCTCTCCTACCATTCTCCCCACTTGTTCCCTCTATTCTACCCACACTGCCCTCCTTTATGCTACTTGAACATATTAGGCACACTCCCACCTCAGGGGTTTGTACTGGGCCATCCCCTGGACCTGGAAGGAGTTTCCCCCCAATATATACAAGGCTCATGCCCTCACTTCCTTCAGGCCTCTACCCAGATGTCACTTTCTCAGTGAGGCCTACCCTGACCATCCTGTTTAAAATCGCAGCTCTCCCCTAGCATATACCCCAATTTTTTCCATAGTGCTCCTCACCCTCTTCTATGATATATAATCTACACCTTTATTGTGTTTGTTATTGTTTGACTCTGCTGCTGGATTGTAAGCTCCAGAAGGGCAGAGATTTTTGTCTTTTTTGTACCTTGATGTATCCTTATTACCTAAAACAGTGCTTAGGATAGAATAGGCTCTTTCAATAAATGTTTGTTGAATGAATGAATGGAGAAATGAGTGAATGAAACGAACGGGTTTTTCACTTACATTGTTGTCTGGTGGGATGTTCTAAAGTTGTATGGAATGCAGTACAATTCTTTGCTGTGTGGAGCTGTCTTGTGCACTGCAGGATGCTGATCACCTCTGGTCCATGGCCACTAAATGTCACTAGTGATCTCCAGTTATTGTGATAATCAAAAATGCCCCAAAACATCCCTTGACTGTCTACCCCCCTGCTGAGAACCACTGCTTGAATAGAAATTGGCTTTCTCCTGAGCACGCTGCTCCCCAGGAGCCCCCTCAAACCCTTCTTGCCAGGAGGCCAAGACATGAAGGTAGGTGTCCTCACTCTAATTGACCTTCCCAGACACTTTCTCTCTCTCCTCCTCAAACCACCTTTTTTTTTTAGAATTAAAAAAAGTTTTATTTTAAAATAATTTCAGATTTAAAAACTTCTAGAAATAGTACAAAGAATTCTCATATATCCTTCACTCAGATTCCTTAAGTATTAATAAATTATGCAACTACAGTTCAATTATCAAAATTAGGGAGTTAACATTGGTAAAATACTATTAATGAAAGTACAGAACTTATTCAGATTTTATCAGTTTTTCCACTAATATAAATTTTCTCTTCTGGGATCTAATTCAGGATCCCATATTGCATTTAGTGGTCATATCTCCTTAGACTCTTCCAATCTGGGACAGTTCTTTAGTCTTTCATGACTTTGATACTTTTGAAGAATCCTGGCCAGCTATTTTATAGAATTTGGGTTTGTCTGATGTTTCCTTGTGATTATAGTTACATTATGTAATTTTGGCAAGAAGACCACAGAAGAGATGTGTCTTCAGTGCTTTACATCAGAAGGCACATGATGTCAGTTGGTCCAATACTGGTTTTGTTCACTTTGACTATTTGTTTAAGGTGGTGTCTGCCAGGTTTCTCCAGTATAGTTACTCTTTTTTCCTTTGTAATTAGTAAGTGATTTGTGGGGAGATACTTTAAGATTATGTACATATCAACCACCTTGTTTTGGGGGTTTTTTTTGTTTTTTTTTTTTTTTAGAGAGGGAGTTGGGGAGGGGCAGAGAGAGGGAGAGAGAACTCTAAGCAGGCTCCATGCCCAGAGTGGAGCCCAACACAGGGCTCCATCTCACAACCCTGAGATCATGACCTGAGCTGAAATCAAGCGTCAGATGCTCAACCGACTGAGCCACCCAGGCGCCCCACAACCACCTTGCTTTAAATTTCAAACCATCAGACTAGACCATTACCCACCCATCTGTGTTATAGTCAGGTATAGACGTATACACATACCTGCCCCCGTCATACTTCTTTCCTAGAATTTAGGTACTAGCTCACTGTCACTCTTTAACACTACCCCAGTCCCACTTCTTGGTGATTTTAATATCCTCATAGATGATCTTTCCAATGTTCTTGTCTCTCAGTTCTGTGATCTGCTTTCCTATAATGCTCTTGCCTTACAACCCCACCTCAACCACCCTCTCCAACAGTCTTACCCTTCTTCTTATCAGTACCTATGACTGCACCACCTCCATACTCTGTTTCAGGCATCCTGCCATCCAGACAGTGCTTCTTATCCTTCTAGTCTACTCCCTCTAGCTCCCCAGCTCCCAACAATCCCTCAACACCACCAAGACTGAACGTTTTCACTACCCTTTACTTCCTCCGTGTTCCCATGTCCTTCCTTTAATCATCTTAGATTCCATGGTCCATCATGATAATCATTCCTTTGCATACATCCTCACTTCCTTGGCCCTCTACACTTGAGCATGTTTATAGGGCAAAACCCTAGCCCTGGTTAAATTCAACTCTGCCCACCCCACTGCACTTCCCTAGGCCATTCACTCTCCTACGTTCCTAGCTGAACTGTTTTGTATCTTCTCTCTCCTCAAATCTCCTGATACCACTCCTTCCATCCTATGCTCAAGCTGCCTACTTGACTGAAGGATCAAAACCATCAGAAGATGGGCGCCTGGGTGGCTCAGTTGATTAAGCGACTGCCTTCGGCTCGGGTCATGATCCTGGAGTCCTGGGATGGAGTGCCGCATCGGGCTCCCTGCTCGGCGGGGAGTTGGCTTCTCCCTCTGACTCTCCCCCTCTCATGCTCTCTCTCTCTCAAATAAATAAATAAATCTTTAAAAAAAAAAACAAAACCAGAAGAAGAAAACCTGCATAGATTCCCATCACCACACACCTAACCACCAAACAGCATCTGTATCCGCATACTCTGCCTTCTTCTCTGTTATTATGGATAAACTGGCCCTGCTGTCATCGAAATCCAGTCCCTCTACTTTGGAACTAGACCCCATCCTCTTTTACCTACTTGAAGACATTGCTTCAGCAATTTCCCCCTCTCTACAAGATCATTCCCATTAGCACACATTCTGTTATTGTTCCCATCTTTCTGTTACAGCTTTATTGAGGTATATTTAACATCATAAAATTCAGCCTTTTAAAGGGTACTATTCAGTGTTTTTTGGTATATTCACAGAGTTGTGCAACCATCACTGCAATCAATTTTAGAACATTTTTATCCCCACCAAGAAAAGAAGCTTCATACTCATTAGCAGTCCCTCCCCACACCTCCCCTCCCCTCAGTCATAGGTAACCACTATTCTACTTTCTGTCTCTATCTATTGATTTCTCTAGTCTAGACATTGTATATAAACAAGATCGTATAATACATTGGTCTTTATGACTGACTTCTTTCATTTAGCGTAATGGTTTTGAGGTTCATCCATGTTGTTGATGTAGCGTTCCTTTTTACTGCCAAATAATATTCCATTATATGGTTATGCAGCATTTTGTGTATCCTATCCATTTGTCAGTTGATGGACATTTCAGTTGTTTTCACATTTGATATTATGAATAATACTGCTCTGAACATTTGTGCACAAGTTTTTGCGTGGATGTGTGTTTTCTTTTCCCATTGGTAGACACCTAGGAAGTGAGAATTGCTTGGCCCTGTGGAAAATCCATGTTTAACTTTTTGAGGAACTGTTCACAGAAGTGGCTGTACCATTTTAAATTCCCATCAGCAATGTATGAGGGTTTCAATTTCTCCATAT